ATCATCTTAAACTTCAAATACAATCCAAAATCATCTTAAACTTCAAATACAATCCAAAATCATAAAAATTACAAATCACAATCCAACATTAAATCATTATTGTCTCATGTTGGGCTGCACCATGGCCTAATAATTATTGTATTTTTTTGTATTGTTTTAATCATGGGTTGATGAGCCAGCCCAGCTTACCATGAGTTCAACCCGGGTGAACCGGATTGTTAGTGAGTCGGGTTCAAAACTGACTCGTATTAAAATTTTCAATTTTTTCAACTCAACCTGGCTCGAACCCGTGGTAGGCCGTATTGACTCATCGGGCCGAGCCCACTTTGACAGCTCTAACTTTTATATTAGTAATTTGGATTGCATTAGATGACCGCAACAACTTTTGAGTTGAGATTGTTATTCTCTTGCTAATCTCTTCCTTCTCTTCCGTCAACTTACATATGTTGGAGTTGTGAATATAGCCATCCACGACCGTTAACGTGTCCAGTAATTCATCATTCATTTTTGGCAAAACACCTAATTTGGTCCCTTATAATAATTAATAGTTTCAATTTCGTCTCTCAATAATTTTTTGTTTCAATTTAGTCCCCAATAATTTAAAAAAATGTTAATGTGAGACTTTCCGTCCAAATTTCACAAACGGCATTAAATGTGATGACGTGGATGCCACATAGATGCATAGGTGGCATGCCTCCTCTCCCCCTTATTTAATGATCTGGAACGGCCCGTTCTGAAACCAGAACAGCTCGTTCCGCTTGCATTCCTTGTGTGTTAATTTTGCATCTGGAACGGACCGTTCTAGATTCAAAAAAACACACAAAGAAAGCAAGTGGAATGGGTCATTCTGGTTTCAGAACGGGCCGTTCCAGATCCAATGATTGTTCTTGAATATCTTAGTTTTCTCCATATTAAAATTTTAACTGGGGCTAATTGTGAACCAGGATTGATTTTCTTTAAACTTTTTAATATAGAGAATCGTCTCAATTTGGAGGAATTTAATGGTATCTTTGGATTTCAAACCATAAGGAAAAAAAATCCAAGATCATTTAATTCATACATGTTTTGGGGGGGTTGTAACAGGTCATACACAATGGGAGGCTAGTTAATGCAATTCATCTACATTCGTCATGCTGCCATTAAAATTATGATAAGTTTATTGTATCTACTTTTCTATGTCGTGGCGACTGAAACGGTAAACTACGCCTAATTGATTTATTATTTTATGGGCAATGATGAAAAATAAGGATGAAAAGATCAACTCTGGTGCATATTTTAATATTTAAATTTGTGTTATGTTATGAATTTTTGTTTTTAATCTTTGAACCACATTGCTACATTTTGTTGAACATTTTTTTGAAATGTAACACTTAAATTTAAACATCAATCCTGGTTGGCATTCCAGAATGGCCCGTGCTGAATCCAGAACGGGTCGTTCTTAAACCAGAACGGCCCGTTCTGATTCACTCGTTGTGTGTTACATTTGCATCTGAAACGGGCCGTTTCAGTTACAAAATTAACATACAACGAGTGGGATTAGAACGACCCGTTCTGGTTTTAGAATGGGTCGTTCCAGGTTCATTAAAGAAAGATTATGGAAACTTGTCACGTATGTATCTACGTGACATCCACGTCATCTACATTTGACTAAATTAAAACAAAAAATTATAGAGGGACGAAATTGACACTATTAATTATTATAAGGGACTAAATTAGATGTTTTGCCTTCATTTTTCTTCGCTATGGAAAACAAGTATTTTATCTTAATTAGCTTTGACTTCAAATCCTTCAAATTCACTTGTTCTACGCTCATCAAAATTTTCAACAAAGAAGGCACTGCTTTCATGGGATTTGTTCGAATTGACAGTTTCTTTTCTGCAATATATATGATTGAGGGACTAAGTGGTACTGGTGGGGAGATTGTGTGATTTTATGAAAAAATGATGAATGAAATTAGCAATTTACTTTGAAATAAGATTGAGGGACGTACACAATGGTGAGAATTTTGTGTCTGTGAAAGACTGATAAAAGAAACAATGTATGTATAGCTTTGGTAAATTGTGGCATTAAATTAAATAATCATTGCATAAAGAAACATCGCAGAAGTTTAACATCATTCTTTTCTTAACATCGAGTTTAATGTAACTTGGTATTCATATTCAATAGATGTTTAATATTAAAGGTGAAATTTCTTCAATATGTCGCTCGTATGATAAAATTTCAATTAAAAATTTACAATTTATAATTCTAGTTATATTTCAAAGTTATAATTTGATTAGAAACATGAATTTATAAAATAAGATCGGTGACGATCTTGAGAACAGTCAGAGTAGGCAATCGCCTAGGACAACATATTCTCACGGGGACATCATAAAACTTTTTAATTTATAATTTTAGAAAAATAAATTGGTGATGTTAAATATAAAGAAGAAAGTATGATATATAAAATAATATAATATAATATAATATTAATTTATTTCTTTTAATTTTTCTTATCCTGTATTTTTGTTATTAAGTTAATAAATAAGGATTGTTTTATAATTTTTCTTATAGATTCTTTGTGTATTCTCTTAATCATGATCTTTTATGCTATGTTAAAATCTTAAAATCAAGTTGGAAATATTTATTTGTTAGCCACCGTAAATTTCTTGATGTGCCACTATTTTTAATTTTTTTTCTTCTATTACAACAAATTGAGAGTTTAAGGTGATGGTTTAAAAATAAACAAAAGTATTATTATTTCATATCTTATTGTCATTTACTCATTAAATCTCATAATTTGAATCACAGATTATAATTTAATTTTTTTATATTTGTCTAATTGTTTGAATTTGAACATATTGCATAGAAAATAATCTTCTGATAATCTAAAACGGAAAAGAAATAAACAAAATAAAATTGATATTGATTCTCAAAAGAGTGCTCTTGATAAATTTTTGTTAAACATCCTACATTTTTTTCTTTGAAATGATGCAAGTCTAGATAATTTAGACTTTAAAGCTGAAAATTTTGAGAATGAAGAACTATATAAAAATAATAAAGAGTCTAATATTTTAGTTAAAAATAATAAAAATGGAGATGATTATCATGATGAAATTAAACATTTTACTGATAAAAATTAACATATCTATGCTAAACAATCTATTATGTCCTTTCTGCAAGCAACTCTGCCAAAAAATTTGGATCTTCTCTTGCCAGCTAGGATAACTCCATTGAGAGTTTCTTGTAAGCACTAGTTCTTATTTTTAAGTTACACTATAAGCACTTCCACTGGAGGTGTTCTTAGACATTTACCATCTAATAATATTATAAGATGAATTACTAAAATAATATTATGAGATGTGTCTATTGCAAATGATTCTTATAAGAATACTTTTGATATCCTAATAATTTTTTCAATAAAAAATACAAGAACAAAAATTAAATAATTGAGAGTATATTTTTTTTCTTTGTCTAAGACCTTAAAAGTCTTAGGCTGACCCTGAATAAGATATTAATTTTTCTACATTAAAAAAAATATATAATATATAAATTTCATACTCAGCAGGGCAATGCTGGTTTAGGTGAATTTCCTTAGTTTAGAGCAGTCCCAAATTGAATATGAAAAAGTTAAACATTCCTAATCACAACAGATGGTTCATCCGAAATTCTCTTCCAGTGGGATGGATTTGCAAGTTTGCAACTGATAATTGTAGCTTAGAAGTAGATGATTTTCTTATCAGTCTAGAGGTTTCAATCACTTTGGTCAGAACATGACCACAGAAACCAATTACACCCCTAATCCGAGAAGCTCAATTTTTTTTAATTTCTTAGCCCGGGTTCTCACATCACAAACCCTAAACATATATATAGAGTGCTCAATACTTAGGTTTGGTCATAAAAATCCAAATATGTAAAACTACATATCAACCTCTCCCCCCTATTGCACAATTATCACAAAATGATTGTAACCTAAAATCTAAATAATAAATTAGCTAATCTAAAACAATAAATTAATTAATCTAAGGTTCCCAACTTCTTAAATAAAGTATTTTCAATGTCATTTTAGTGTAACTTATTCCCATTAAGAACATTAGCTGTGTTGCTTTAGGATCCGAAACCTGTACAAAGATTGAGTCTAAGGAATTGGTGCTGAAAATAGTGTACCAAGCAAAGGGAATGCATATGTAGCAAGTATTCAGTTTAAATAATTGATAATTATAACATTAGCTAACTGAAAACTTGGAACTCTTCTAATTTTCGGTTGAGACTTAAGAATTGGATTCCCCATTTGTGAAACAAAGGGTAGACTACTATGGCATTATTTTATGGTAAAAAAGAATAATGCCAAACTTGTTATTGACGTATTGTCAAAAGGCTTGAATGGCAATTTTCATTGGTAAAAAAGGATGATGTCAAACTTGTTATGGTGTTCTTGAATAAGTCCTTGGAAAAGTTGAAACCAACAAAAGATACCCTGCTTCCATCATTTTTAAGCGAAAAATATTCTTAATCATTGCCTTTTTTCATGATTTTTGTGGTTCTAATTTTATAAATTCTATTTTATAAAATGAAACAAATCTTATTTTTATATTAGCTCATTAAATTATGAACCTAGTACACAAGATAAAAAAAAAAGTTATATAATTTTAAATTCTCTGCCCTAGACTAAAAAGGTTCACCTGAACTACCATTTTCCTGCTAAGTACGAATTTTATAAATTGATTTTTTTTATATTTTAAATTCCTATTTAATTTTATTTGATATTTAAGTTTATTAGCAAATCATATTTCTGAAATATAACTTAACTTATTAGCTGTAATTTAAATTGTGTCATACAGGCAGCACAATAAAGAAAATTCAACTCCAATTTTAAACTTGTATTGAGTGAATACAAAGTTACATTATACCCCCATGTTAAGAAAAGAATAACGTTAAACTTTTGCCATTTTGTTCCATGCAATGATCCTTTAATTAAATTCCAAAGCTTCTGATGAAGTTACAAAATCCCCTACCCCTTTATCCCTAAATCTTATTACAAAGATATATTGTTACTTTCATCAGTTTTTCATAAAGTCACAAAACTAACAAAATAACAAAACTCGCAGCACTCTGTCCCTTGATCTTTCTGCAAGGGTATATTGTTTCTTTCATCAGTTTTTCATAATTCACAAAATCTCCCACCACTCTGAGCCTGAGTCTTGTTGCAAGAAAAAAAAAATGTCTATTCGAACAAATCCCATGAAAGCAGTGCCTTCATTGTTGAGGCGCCTGAGGCCTGTAGAAAAACAAGAAAATTTGAAGTCTTTGAAGTCTGAGTTGATCCATTTAGAGAACCTGTTTTCCACAGTGAAGAAAAATGAAGAAGAACTCCTTGACGTGTTAACAGCCGTGGATGGCTATATTCGCAATTCTAACATACATAAGCTGATGGAAGAAGAGGAATCCATTTGCCAGAGAATAAGGGATTCAACTCAAAAGTTGCTGCCACCTGCTGCTACTCAAAGTAGTAATATAAAAGTTGCTCAGTCATCAGAAAAAGCAACTCAGTCTGTGAAGAGAAAAGAAGTGAAAATACCACAACCTGAGGAATTGGAAAGGTTTAAGGTATGTTATGAAGGCCTGGATGATCTCCATAAACATTACTTCTTATCTCTCTTACTTCTCCCTGAAAATGCTGTTATAAAGAAAAGGAATGTAATTTTATGGTGGGCTGTAGTTCTTGGACATGATTCTGTGCCACTTTGGAATGTGTTCATGGAGCTTAAGAGAAATGCTTTCATTGTACCACATGCCATGATTCATGATGTCAATAAATTTAAACTTAGTCCTTGTATCCGTCATATGTCGGTGAGACTTTTGTTAGAAAATGATTTAAAACAGTTTTTAGAAATTGATTCAAAAATAACACCCTCATCTCATTGTAGTGGTCATACTAGGTATGAATGTTTAGCACTTTACCAAAAAAAAGTTAAATTAAGTGATGAGCTTGACTTTAAATCCACCCATTGGAGAGCTATTTTCAATGTTGGTGCCAAATATCTTAATTTTGGAAACCAATGGATGGCCAAAATGAAGCGTTTGGAGGTGCTTCAACTTGGTTGTTGGCTGCAAGACTCAACTTCACATGACATTGAAGTGGAGAGTGAAGAATTCCTAAAGGAGTTGAGGGGTCATAAGTATTTGAAATATCTTAGCCTTTGTGGAATATCAGGAATATCTAAGTTGCCACCCTCCATTTTCCAACTTGAGAGCCTAGAAACTCTGGATCTCAAGGCTTGTCACAATCTAGAAACACTACCTAATGATATTGCATCATTGAGAAACCTCAAACATTTGGATTTGTCTAATTGCTACTTGTTGGATAGAATGCCAAAGGGGATTGAGAAGCTGACTGAGCTCCAAGTACTGAAAGGGATTGTAATAGGTAGACCTAACAAGACTCCATGCAAAATATCAGATCTTGCAAATTTGAAAAATCTAGAGCGACTCAGCATACATATTGGAAGGGGGGCTGTGATCCAAGAGAGGGAATTTGAAAGCTTGATAGTGTTGTCAAAACTAGAACATCTCAAAATTTCATGGGGTGTGTCTGACACAAAATACAGTGATATCCAGATCACTTTGCCTTCAAGTTTGACAAAGTTACATCTTGAAGGCTTCCCCGGACAAGAAATTCCAGAATGGCTGAAGCCTAGCAAGCTACTCGAGAGATTGAAGGTGCTAAACATAACAGGAGGAAATCTTAAGAGTATGAATCATGGAGAAAATAATAACCAGTGGTGTGTGGAGATTGTGCGTCTCAAGTACCTAAAACATTTGAAAGTTGACTTAACAAATTTGCAAGAGTTGTTTCCTTCGTTGAAGCACACAGAAATAAAACATATCCTAAACCATTCATACCTTGAATGGAGCCTTGATTGAAGAGAGTTAAAAGTCAATCTATGTTATAGAATGATCCATATATGTTTGTTATCTAGAGAGCAATGTTATTAGCACAATTGTATTTTTATTAATCTAAATTTAGAGTGTGCCAATAAAAGTGAAGGCCAGTTGAAAAAAACACAAAGAATATGGCTAATCATTGTAACTAAACTTGTGTCAATGCATATGTGTTGCTATATATCTTCTATCTCCCGATTATTCGTTATGATTAATGATATAATCTGGTTATTTTGATTAGTAAAATACTAAAATACTAGATATGCGAAAGACTACTTCACCAATTGATTGAAAACTATGGGACCAGTTTTTGTTTGCTTATCTATTCAAGTCATCATCGATGTTATCTCACAAATAGTAATGTGATTGGTTTAACACTTCTCTTCACAATTCGTTCAGAATAGCAATGCTGTTTTGATTATGAAGCCAGTTCCAAGCTTTTCACCTTTTGTGCATGGCTCTGTGGCTTCTGCGTCAAAACAGTACAATTTACCTTCTAAATTATGCAAATGCGGCAGGCTTAATTTTTTTTTTAAGTAGTATACAGTTTAGTCTGCTTTTACTTTTTGGGTCAACATATTGAGTTTTATTTTTCTTGGGGAGATCGAGGGACTTTTGGTCAGATTTATAGCATATTGATTTGTTAATCACGTGTACACTTGCTGGTTGTTTCAATTTCAGTATCTTGGTTTATTTATTTCTGTTGATACCACAAAACACATTAAAAGAAGTGTATCTATGTTTTTGCAGGCCAGGGGTAAGTATGATGAATTTTATCTTAAGTGCTGCCTTCTTTTTTTGTTATATGTTATAGGCGATGACTCTGTTTGAGAACCTGATATATATTATTTTTTTCACTTGAATGACTCAAATTTAAAATCTTACTAAAAGAATTCGAATCAAATTTTACTCTGATTATCGGTGTCTTTAATGTTTTAGATATGCTTATCTGTAAAACATTAGTTCCATCACTGTGATTTTCCATGTTAACAGTAACACAACAATGGGAATCTGTTGAGTTCTGCTTCTGATGGGTGTGAGAAATTCAGTGCTGTGCTGAGTATGATAAGACATTCATTCCTTTCTTGTTTTGGCCTTTTCAGGCATTTCTCATTAACTGCCTCATATTCCAATGAATTTTTATACATTTTATGAAGTTCATTATTATATCAGTTTCATGTCAGAAACAACAATTGTGGTTGTTTGTGTTAGTAGATAAAGTTCTACTCTAACTATAATTGATTACTTATTTCAGTAGGTAATGTTCGGTTAAGTTTGTGATTTTGGACAAATTTACATGATGGGTACATCAGTTTTGTTGACGACATAGATGAACATGATGTATGGATGTTATTTTTCATATATTTACCTTATATATGAATGAGAAATATGCATAACTATGAGAAGGGTTTATGTTTTATTACTTCTTTGCCATTGCATGTTCTAACACTGAAAACCACAAACATGTGAGGAAGTTGTTTTAAAATACACTACCATGAATTGTTATTAGTGAATGAGGAATCCGTACTCCACATGAAGATAAGTGTTGTTTCAACTATGAGACCTCAAAATTAGAATACCTTCTACTATTCAATTTTGTAATAAGTACTTAGCACTAATTGGGGGGGAGGGCACTCATTTGTATGTGCTAAGACTGATCCTATTTACATTAAATTGTCTTTCTGAATAGCCCTTGGAGGACACAATTGATGGACTGAGGCTAGATCTGAAAATCAAGATACAATAACATCGGTGAACTATACCATTGTGGGTGTTCTATATGTAATGGGAACATGAATAGCACCAGAATTAAAGGCTTCAACAGAGATGTCTACAATGAGGCATTGCTAATAGCAACTTACTACAGACATTGCCTTGGATATAAATATGACAACAATAGCAAAGTTATACAATTGCATTTTGGAATGTAAGTATGACACCTAACCTTCATACTAAAATACTCAGTTCCAAGAATTGGATAAAAATAACTACATTAACAATCAACAAAAAAAATAAAAGTTATAACTACAATTCAACTTGACTTGAGCTGTTATATTTTTTTTATGAGTACTTAAGGTGTTATTTAATCACAACTGAATATAGATAGAATTTGGAGGAAATCTTCTAACTGAAATGATATTGTTTATTAACCCAAAAATTTGTCAAATATTGAATCTTTAGCTAAAAGATGAATTATATATATATTTTTAAAAAAAATTAATTGTGTGTAATTTTGGTCTTTATGTCTTAAACTGAATTAAGTAAATTTGGTACTATCATTATTATTTTTTAACCTAAAATCACTAAATTCCCATTTCTTTTACTAAAATAATTTATAAATTGAATGGATTGGGGACATATCTTTTCCTGTATAATATCTTTTCACTCGATCAATATTTTATTATTTTTAAGAAAAATATTTTTTACACTAATTAATTTCTATTTAATTACATGACAAAAACGAATAAGATTTAAAATTGTGTACATTTTCTTTTTCTGCCAGAAAAATTTATGTATGTATCTAAAGTATATATATATATATA